CATTCATTCATTCATTCACTCACTCATTCACTCAGCACTGGACGAAGTAATCAGGCAGAGTTGGCTTCACCGTAAGATTATTGGCACCAGCGCCAGGGCCATCTTATTCACTCCGAACGTAAACGTCCTATCGAAGATCACCATGGCATGTAGGGCTATCCCCAGCGCTGGCTTTGAGGGAAATTTTAACGTTGGTGGTGATGGGTTGGGTGGAATATTACTTTCACTATTGCCGTAAGATGGCCATTTGTGTGATGCGTTGGTTCTGCGGCTGTATTTGCCTGGATAGTCGTACGTTTTTTGGTGATGTTTCTTAAAATTATTCAAGAGAGGACTGTAATAAATTGTACAAATAAATAAATAGATAAATAAATAAATAAATAATTAATTAAATAAATAATTTATAAATAATTAATCAATAAAAAAATAAATAGATAAACAACATTACTATATTTCAATTTGCGTTCACAGATTGTCAGCCTGCATATGTTCCAGACTTCAAGGGCGTCGAAATCCTTCGTCTTCTTCATAATGGTCATGGCGAACGTCTTCTTCCTGACACTAATTGCCATATTTTACATCTACCGAGTCGGCGTTTACAACATCTTGTCCAATATGTCCCTCTTCTTTGCGCTCTTCAGTACACTATGCGACTACTGGTTCTTCGTTGCCTATGTCTTGCTGAAGTTGAGTAGCTACAAAGTTACTCATTATTGGTATACATCGTTTGCCTTTTCGTGGGAGTCTTGCTTTCAGACGGTTGGCTTGGTCGGCTGGCTGGTTTGTCTGGTTTTGGTTGATTAGTTGACTGAGTGATTGATTGATTGATTGATTGATTGATTGATTGATTGCTTGACTGATTGGTTGGTTGGTTGATTAGTTGGTTTGTTGATTGATTGATTGACTGGTTGGTTGGTTGGTCGATTAGTTGGTTTGTTGATTGATTGATTGACTGGTTAGTTGGTTGGTCGATTAGTTGGTTTGTTGATTGATTGATTGATTGATTGATCTATTTTTTTATTTATTTATCCATTCATTCAATCATCGGTTTGTTATATTTTATTTTCATTTTCACTTTTCATTTCTTTATTAGTTTATTAGTCTATCCATCGATTCGTTAATTCATTCATCAGTTTATATATTCATCTAATCATTCATTCAATTATTCATTCATTCATTCATTCATTCATTCATTCATTCATTCATTCATTCATTCATTCATTCATTCATTCATTCATTCATTCATTCATTCATTCATTCAATTATTCATTCATTCATTCACCCAATCATCCATTTCCAAAGATACAAGAATTAGGATTTTTTCTAGCTCTCATGACAACTATGGTCAGACTATTCGTTATAGTGACCAAGCTGATCGGCAGCAGTTAGTATGCAAATGTCTGCTAGCTTGTTTGTTGAAAAATTATTATTACTTATAATTAAATAATAATTTCTAATTTTTGAATTTTTGTTATAATTTTTTTTAATTGATTTTCAAATTAATATTGTTTACCAAATCAACCGACCAATCAATCAATCAACCAACCAAACAACCAATCAACCAACCAATCAACCAACCAACCAACCAGTCAACCAATCAACCAACCAACCAGTCAACCAATCAACCAACCAACCAATCAACCAACCAACCAGTCAACCAATCAACCAACCATCCAACCAGACAAATATTACTGGACTTTAAATATAAAGCACAAAATGCCAAACGCTCTCCTACTCATGATATTTCTTTATGGGGTTGAAGCCTTCATTTGGACTAATTACTTCAAACAGTTAGTATAGTTACTACTAATACTTCTATTACTACTACCGCTACTACCATTTCCTCCACTACTACCACTACTTCTACAACTATTACCACTTTTGCTACTAATTTTACTATTACTGCTACTACATCTACTACTACTAACATATTTATTACAACCACTACGGCTGCTATTGTGGCTACTGTTGCTTCTGCTACAACTACCACTTATGTTGCTGCTGCAGCTGCTGCTACTACTACTACTTGTTTTTATGAATTTTAATTACTTCACGTTTGGTTACAAAAGTAAGCACAAGGATTTTTCTACCCTGGTTAAATCCTTAACGCTGACTGTCAGCTTGTTCGTTCACACAAGAGATCTATCCGCCTATGTTCATCATTTCTCTAATATATATCCGGTATTTTGTGTGTGTATGCGTGTGTATTTGTGTGTATGTGTGTGTATGTGCAAATTTTGATCTGTGTATTTATGTTTGTGCGTGTGTGTCATTAACGATAATCAGATTATCATCGTCATCGTCGTCATCATCATCATCATCATCATCGTTGACAACAAAAAACATTAATAATCAGCAACACCATCATCATGATTATCGCCATCAGTTAAGCTCATTTTTCTTGTTCCACTGTGTTCTCTTCATGCTATGCAAGGCTCTCATAGTCTGCACTGTAGTGCATGAATCAAGTAAGCTTGTGTGTGTGTGTGTGTGTGTGTGCCTGCTGTGCACGTGTATATAGTTGTGTATGTGATATGTGTGTGTATGTATATATGTATGTATGTTAAAAGCAAAACATGATGAATGACACTGAACAGCCAAACATCAAGTAACAAGTGGATAACACTTTGATTTGTCGTTAATTGCACAAGTCGGCAATGTATATATGTATGTATGTGTGTGTGTGTGTTTGTGTGTATGTATATGTGTGTGTGTGTGCGCGTGTGTATGTTTGTGTGTATGTATGTATGCATCATCAGCATGGTTAACAAGGAAAGTTCATCTGTACCGCGTGGAGTATGAGACGGAAGAATTGAGTGGATCGTCTGCGTCCTCTTCCTCTTCTTCCTCGTCGTCATCTACTTTGTCCGAAACATGATGATGGTGATTATTTTGTTGTTGTTGCTATTGGTGGTGGTGGTAGTGACGTCATTCTTGAAGTGATGACGTGGTTTAATTTAGATTACGTTATTTATAATCATTTTTATTAATTTTGCCGTTGAATTATTTTCGAAATTATTTTAAGTTTTATTTTTTGGTTTCTTGTAGAAAAAAATGGATGAAACTTTTTTTCGTCTTTTAATAATTTCGAATGTAAAAATTAGCAACAATAACAGCTACGCATGTGTGTGTGTGTGTGTGTGTGTGTGTGTCTGTCTGTTTGTGTGTTTGCGTGTGCGTGTGTGTGCACCTATCCGATTTTCGGCACCATCATCACTTTTGCATGCCTGGAAAAGACACGAACTCTGTTTACATTGTGATCCATTACGACTGCAGTTTCATACTGTATCAACTCTACCTAGGTTTGGTTGGTTGGTTGGTTAGTTGGTTAATTATTATTTCACTTATTCATTTATTCGTTCGTTCGTTTGAAATCGTTTAATGGAATAAATAATCTGTACTAATCAAATTTATGAACATAAATAATTTATGCTAAATATATTATAATTTATAAATACAACACCTCGATATTATAATAAATAAATAATCATTGTTAACCAACATAGAGGTCTGGCCTCTCCCTCTTGATTTGATACGCTGCTATCAATTCGTTCTTCAAATCATTAAATTATTAGTATTAGAAGTAGTAGTAGCAGCAGTAGTAGCAGCAATAGTAGTAACGGTTGTATAATAAAAGCGGCAGCAGTAGCATTGAAACAAAACCAACAAAAGCAAAATTCTTCAACAACTACAATAATAATAATAGTAGTAACTCCAACAATAATAATAATAATAATAATAATAATAATCATACAAACAATAATAATATTAATCAATCACTAACAATTCCATATAACTCAGGCCATGATGTTTTGCTGGCCGTGACAGCCAAATCTGGCTCGTCCGTCGGATTCAACTCATGGTACAGCCTCTCAGTCCTCATATTCATGCTACTACAATTACTGTTTAAACAATCGAATTGTCTTTAATTATATCATAATTACTTAATAATTATATTAATGTTAATTCTATTACTGTTATGTTAATATTAATTCTATTATTGTTATGTTATAGTTATATATATATATATGAGCGGTGAGATGGTGAATTGGTTAAGACGCCTGGTTCTGCTCTCGCATTGGCCAAGTTTGAATGCAAAAAAATTCCTGTCTTTTACATGCAATGTATTTGTGTATTAATTGATATTTTACATATAGCAGAGTATAGCATTTCTACAATTTAAATTCAATTTAAATATACTAACCAGACTTCTAGTAATTCTAATATGACGTTTATTAAAAGTAAATACCTCATTTTTTGAGATTAAGTTTAACTATTCACATTATTATGAAACATTGAAATTCTCTGTTTTATAAATACATGTAAATGTATATGTAGCTTTCTGTATAGATTTATGTGCGTATATACATGTAAATATAAATGTATGATATGGTTTGTATATTTTATTCAATGAATTCTACTTACGAAACTTTGTACTCATTAATTATAATGACAAATTGTCTAAATTAGTAAATAAAAATAATATTTATTACTTTGTCTGTAATTTAGTGATAATAGTTGTAAATTGTCTAATAAATCATTTAACGTTTCACTTTATGATATACAGTTTTTGGTCAATTTTTTCCATATGTTTATATTTATGGTTGATAATTTTCCTAACGTTTTGTCCCTTTAAATTTTAAATGGGTGTTCTTTCGTTTCTTTAGGTTAAAAAACACTAAACTTTGTGATGATGAATAAGAAATATGTTTAAACTACAAAAATCTCGTTAAATTTAAATGGACTTTTAAATAATTTAAAAAAAAATTAAAAATATTTTTTTAATAAAAAAACAATTAAAAATGCCCACGGATTTGAAAACGGCCAGTGTCAAAACGACATATTCCGCTGGAGCCTCGAAAAAAATTCGCGGATTGATCGAATCGTCGGATCAACAGTTGCTCGAAAAAAGTGATGTACTTGATTCAGACTCTTCTCTGCCACTGACTCTCAGGTCTTTTTGTCCTTCGAAATCTAATTTTCAAGTGAAAAATTATTTAAAAAGTTAATTTAATTAATGAAATCATTAATTAATGATTAATTAGTAAACGATGTTAAGTTTACTTTAAATTTAATTAAATGGTAAACTCCGCAATGTAGGACTCGCTTGTTTGAGCTGTTCAATCAGATTGAGCACGAGTTCGAAACGCTCTACTCTGAAAATGTGGCTTGTTAGTGAAACTTCACCATCGCAAAGATAATTTGATCATGATTATCATCGTCATGATCATCATCATCTTCATTATTATGGTCATCTTCATTATCATTATGGTTATGTGCTAATCATCATCATTGTTGTCTGTCTAGTTAACATGGCTACAGTTTCTTCATTGATGGTATTATATATATTATATATCAAATAAAATAGTTTTATATTGTCTACCATTCAATCATTAAACATCACTATATTAACATATTAACATAGTGTACATTTCTACAATTCAATGACCTTCTAGCCATTTTTAGCAAAATAAAGTGTCTCTAACTTGTTAAAAATATATTTATCATCAGACAGTGTTGTTATGTTAGTAATCTCTTTTTAATAACATTGTTGTTACATCACTTGTGACATCATTTCTATTTATATCTTCAATGTTGTTTATAATAGTTATCTTTGAGGAAATAAATAAATAAATAAATAATGTTATTTATATCTCATTGTTGGCATAATTAGTAGTAATATTAATATGCCACGACATCCCTGCTATCTATTTTGAACTCATTTTACCAACCAGTGCAAGAGAAAGTTGATCTCCTAACTGAGAAATTAGAGCAGACCATCGGGCCTAGCACATCAAAAGAGGAAGGTGACATGATTGTTGTCGATGGAGCTCAGCAATCCACCTCTGCTGTTGCTACCACTAATTGGAAAGTCGGTCTCCCTAAGAAAAATCCCCGACGTTAGTGAATTTGAATTAGTAGGGATGTGCTGAATTTTAAATAATTAAAAATAATACTGATGAAAACAAAAGTGGCAGGCAGTCAAATCTCACAGAGAATCAAATCGACTTACAAAACATCGACTAATAAGATTGTTCTCAGTTTCAAGAACCCCTCCTACTCATTTGGATTGGTTCGTGAGTTCAAAGGTCACAGAGATGGGGTGTGGGAAGTTAGCGTATCAAAGTGTGAACCGCAACTCATTGGCACTGCTTCGGCTGGTAGGTTTTCAATAAGATTTAATTTCTCTCTGTCAATTATTTTTAATTTTATTTTTTTAAATATATTTTAAATAGATACATTCTATGTAACGTTATTATGAAGGTATAATTAATTTCTTCAACTCTCCAGACCACACAGCCTGCTTGTGGTGGGTGCCAAACGGTGCCTGTCTAGTCCAATATTTAGGTCATACGGGTTCCGTGAACTCCATAAGGCTGCACCCACAACAATCTGACCTCATTCTAACTGGGTCAGGTGATCAGAAGGCCCACATTTGGAGGTCACAGATCAATGTCAACCTCTTGGATAAGAGTTTTGCATCTAGAAATGTTGGTTGTGGTGTGAAGATGGTGCTTGCTGGTGGCAATTATGATGTTGAATGATGAGTGACAATGATGATGAGAAGATGATGATGATGGCTCCGATGATGAAGTCTTTTTTGTTAACAATTTGTTATTTAATTATTTCAGAAAAATTCCTCTGAAGAAGAGCTCGACGCGTCGATGGAAAAGGAGGACGTAGAAAGTGGGTGGCATTGAAAGTTGGCACAATCCATCTCCATCTATCTTATCATCTTCCTCTTCATCATCATTCTATCACCCATAACACCATCTTCATTTCATCATCGTTCTACTCAATACTTCCAACACACATACAGGCCAAATAAATTCGCCGGAGGAAAAGTCAGACCCTATCATTATCCACCAATCAAATCTCGAGTTACTAGGCCACAGTGGTGTCGTGATAGCAGCTGATTGGTTGTCGGATGGTAATCACGTGATCACGGCGTCTTGGGATAGGACGGCCAACATGTATGATGCAGAAACCGGAGCGCTCATCAACGTTCTCAATGGTTTGTGGGGTTGTGTGCCTCTTTTTTGATTGGCTACAATTATTTCTCGTTTCTTTTTTGATTGGCTACAATTATTTTTCACCTCTTTTCTATTGGCAAAACTATATTTGATCTATTTATTCTTTTTATTCAAAATTTTTAAACATGCCCTCTAGTTCATTTTTATCATCATTAAAACGTAATATTACAAATATTAACCATGAAGAAGACGACGACGATGTTAATGATGATGATGATGTAAAATAGGACACGATCAAGAGCTGACCAACGTCTGCGTGCACCCGAGCCAGAATCTCGTGCTGACCTCGTCCAAGGACACGACCTTCAGACTCTGGGATTTTAGGGATTCGTCCATGAGGGTGAACGTCTTTCAAGGTCACACCCAGTAAGTGGGGCTGTGCCATTTTTAGTAGTAATGACGACGACGATGATGATAGAAAGAATGATAGAAAGAATGATGATGGTGACGACTGAACTTGTCCTTGACCACTTAATTTTCATTCAAGGTCAGTAGCCACTGCCGTGTTTGCCGGTGGTGATTGCTTGGTGTCCGGAAGTGATGATAGGTCCATCAAAATATGGGATCTCAAGAACTTGAGGTCACCCACGACGACTATCCGAGTTGATTCTGCGGTTAATAGGTCAGTAAATGGGTCAATCAGTCAATCAACCAAATTTTCATTCATTCATTCATTCAATCAATCAAACAACCAACCAACCGACAAACTAACAAACAAATCAGCCATCTATCTATCCAACTATAAAATCAGTCAATTAGTCAATCAATCAATCAATCAATCAATCAATCAATCACCTTGAAGATTATCAATCAGTCCGTCGAGCAACCTCATAGCGGTACCTCAGGACAACTGCCAGTTGAGATTGTACGACTTGCAAGGAACCAGGCACGGGAGGATTTCTAAAATATCTAAGGTAGGTTGTGGTTGTGATCTTGATGACGACGACGACGATGATTATGATCTTGATGTTGATGATGATGATGATCTTGATGTTGATGATGATGATGATCTTGATGTTGATGATGATGATGATCTTGATGATGACGACGACGACGATAACGATGGGGGGGTGATGGTAAACTAATCGATAAATGATAATTTGAAAATGACGACACATAATCGCATTAATCGTCATCACAACATCGTCATCATTATCGTCGTCGTCATCGTCGTCGTCATCATTATCACCATCAGGGCCACACTCATATGATCAGCTCCGCTGCCTGGATTGACTCATCCTCAACATCGGCACTTCCGGCGACGTCATCAGCACTTCCGGCGTCATTGTCATCATCGGCCTCATCTTTTCCCTGCAATCTGTTTACTTGCGGCTTTGACAGAAGAGTGTTTGGCTGGAGTGTCTATTTGCAGATGGAGAAATGATGACGATGATGATGGTGATGATGACGATGGTGATGATGACGATGGTGTTGGAGCTGTTGGTAGTGGTGATGATAATGATGGTTTCGATGATGATGATGATGATGATGATGATGATGATGATAATGATGATGATGGTGTTGGTGCTGATGGTAGTGGTAGTAGTGGTGGTGATGATAATGATAGGTTCGATGATGATAATGGTGATGATGATAATGATGGTGATGATGTTGATGGTGATGATGATCCAGATAAAAATTTGAATTTGAGAACGTTGGGAACGAACATAAAGTATTATATGTTCAAATATGATATGTGTGTCTGCGTGTGGTGTACATTTTATAACTTAATAATAACAAATCATAATAACAAATAATAATAATAATAATTTACATTTTTCATCTATTTTTAATTTTTTTCGGATTTCCCCAAGGTTTTAAATTTTATTTTTAGTTACATGTGTGTTTAATTAATTGTTTGTCTTTAATTGGTTGCTATTTATAACTTATGTCGGACGACATTTTAGCTATAAATAGTTATTTTGACTGATTGGTTGATTTAGTGATCGATTGGTTGATTGGTTGGTTGGTTGATTGATCAATTGGTTGGTTGGTTGACGAAAATTTTTTCTCTGACTCAAAGTTGAACGTTCAATGAATTGAGCATAATTGTTTGACTATCAGATAACTTCTATTTTTAGTCACTCATTTATTCATCATTCATTCATCATTCATTCATTCGTTTGTTTATTCATTCGTTTTGTTCATTCATTCATTTATTCATTCTTTCGTTTATCCATTATTTTACTTATTCGTTCAGTATGTCAATCGTTCAATCATCAATTAATCAATCAATCATTTCAAGCGATCGATCAATTAATCATTTTTTTTATTCAATCTTTCATTCATTCATTCATTCATTCATTCATTCATTCGTTCGTTCGTTCATTCATTCATTTTTTATTGGTTTACTCTTTCATTCTGTGAATAAATAAATCAGTCAGCCACTCAAACAATTAATCAAATATTGTCTAAAACGTTTATTTATCTTTTCTATTCTCCATTTTAAAAAATATTCCTTCATTCGCTCGTTCCTTCATTCGTTCATTCATTCGTTCATTTATACTTTCATTAATTAATTTATTCATTATTTCATTAATTCATTTATTCATTCACTCATTCACTCATTCATTCATTGTTTTGATATAGGATTTCTATTTCGTCTTTATGATTCCTTTAGAAAATTGTACCGTAATATAAGATGACATTTATTCGAGTTTTGCCACTAAGTAATGCATTTTTATGTTTTATTATTGTTGTTATTATTGTTATTATTATTATTATTGTTGTTGTTGGTTGCACTTATAATTTAAATTTCTTTAATTTAAGTTTCTTTTATAAAGTTCACATTGAAAAAAAAACATTTTTTTTATTTACATTGAGATAATAAATGAAATAAAAAATAATGCCAACTAACACTTTAACTTTCTTTGTTTGCTTATTAAATGTGTGTCTATGTATGTCTGTGTCCATGTATGTGTGTATGTATGTGTTTATATGAATATATGTGTGTATGTTTGTATGTATGTGACTGTATGTGTGTGTGTGTGTGTGTGTGTGTTTGTGTGTGTGTGTGTGTGATAGAAATACAAACGAAACGTTAAAAAATATAATATATACATCATTGTATACATGTATGTGTATTGTTTTTGTGTTTGCTTGTGTGTGTTTGTGTGTATGTATGTGTTTGCGTGCGTGTGATATTCAATGTAAAATATGACGTTAAGTTAAATCATCCACGTTATGAGGCAAGAGAAAAAAAATGCCTTCTAACATTTTCGTGTGTGAGTAACTGTGTTGTGTGTTTGTTTGTGTGTGTGTGATTGTTTGTGTGTGTGTCTGTTTGTGTGTTTGTTCGTGTGTGATTGTGTGTGTGTGCATGTTTGTGTGTGTGTGTGTTTGTAACGCAAAAAAGCTCTCTTTTTTTCTCTTTCTCTCTCATTCTCTTTATCTTTTTCTCTATTCGCCTTCTTTCTCTCTCTTTTATGTCTCACTATCTCACTTAAAATATAATATTAGCTAAAATTGAATTAGTCATACGGTATAAACAAAAAAGCACACAAACACACACACAGACACGTACTACCACACACACACACACACACACACACACACACACACACACACACAAACACAAACACAACACTCACACTCACAAATACTTATAAATGTAAATGTGTAGTGTAAATGTCTGGGCTATGTTTGGCATTGAA